GCTTCTTCCATGTGGGCTTTGTTGCTTCTGAGCTAGATGGCCGCTTGTTTACCGTCAAGCCTTTAAGACCCCATATGCTATATCTTTTGATAGCCGGGCTCCATCAGCTTTCTTCGCCACATTTGCTTATGCACCCATTTGTCTTTAGCGATCGTATCATGGAGATGAGCACACAATGGTATGATTTTTTGTTCTTTGATGCCTGATAAGTGATCCCTTCGGCACCTCATGATCACACAGGCTGGCGTGCTTCAGAATAACTTTTTGAGTTTATTTTTTGTAGGCAAAAAAACAACCAAAAAATGGAGAAACGTAAACATCTCAGACCTAAGAAGAGAGTGAAACTGTTGTGTAAACCGGAGACGATATTAAACATAGAAGACTACAGGAAGATTATTAACCTGGCTCGGTCTATAGCTCAAACAGTCATCTTGAAAGCTATTCAGTATGTGAAAGGTAATGACTCCTACTGGGTGTGTAAATAACGATCTCATGTAGCTAATGAGACCAGCCAACTAACCAATTCACAACTTGTTTGCAGCTACTCGTTTCACTGTCAAAAACATCCAGTGGATCCAACATGGTGAATTCACTGTGGAGGGAGGACAACTGTCCATTGAGAAGTACATTTCAGTAAGTTAGTTGACCACTCTAGTTTGGTATAGGAGGGGATAAAAAACAATAAAATAGCTCTGTTTGATCAAAGGTTAGAAGTCTAGAAGACCTGGAATAGGACATCAAAGGTGACTTACTCACTCCCATTGAGTCAGTGCTGACTCATAGCGACCCTTATACTAGAAATCCTCATCCTCATTTGTGGGCTAATCTTTGAAAGTGACAAGCACACCAGTATCTCCCAGTATTGGCATCATAACATTTTCCCTAGGAAAGTCTGATCCTCCTCGTTAAGCAATTTGCTCGTGCTGGTGCATTAGATAAGGGTCCAGTGGCCTAAGGTGACACAGTAGCTTAGTGCTTGACTGCTAATCAAATCCATCAGCTGCTCTTTGGGAGAAAGATGTAGCAGTCTCCTTTTATAAATGTCTACTGCCTTGGAAACCCTCTAGGCAGTTCTACTATGTCCTGTAGAATTAGTAAGAGTCAGAATTGACTAGATGATCGTAAGTATTGGTTTAGCCTAAGGAAGGAAATGGGAAATGTCCCTCCAAAAATGCAGCTCTCCACCAACCCAGAGTGTCTAGAATCCTCACAAGTCATCATGCTTTTCTAGAGAGCCACCATCAAATCAGGCTTGCTAGCACAGAGCCTTGAGCGCCTGCTATTTCCTTGGAGGAGAAGGAGGAGGAGCAGATGAAGACATGAGAGACCATCAAGGAGAAATCAGGCTGGCCTTCTGTCTCCGTTCATTTTCTTTGGAATTTGGCTGTTTCATTTAACCAGGGAGGAGCACTCAACTGAATTCATGACATCAAGGACTGTGCCTTCTTTCTTTTATCCTTCTTCCTATTAGTGAAAGACCCCAACAGTCAACTCCTTGAGATCTGTTAAAGCATGCTTGTTTTCTTTCAACATCACTCAATGTGCTTTTTTTACTTCTGAGGTTAACTTCTCTCACAATCACTGACTTAGTAGATGTGGCTTGTTTCCTACAGCTCCTCCATCAAAGCTGATGGATGATACTGGGGCTTAGAAATGGGTCGGGGATGGTACCCAGCCCTGTTGATCAGCAAACTGTGTGCTCTCTTCACTCTACCAGATGCCTTGATCCTGAGGTGGTCTTCCTCTCAGGTTTGCTCTTATGGGGTTTTTGTTTGGTTTGGTGAGCTCTTTCATCCCCAAACAGCAAAAGTTTTCATTTAAGGCTGTGTGGGTATAAAGATGAATAGAATCGCTGACCTTAAAGGTTCTTCGTCCCTCCCTTCTGATTTTTGTATTTGCAGGGTCCCCTTAATGTACTGTGGGTCATGGGCAGTGTGCCTAACTATGCCTAATGGGTGAGTCAGCCCTGCTTGGCATGGTTTAATATGGAGAAGAAGATGAAGACAGCACCATACGACTGTCACACAGGGTGGGTGTCAAGTGCCATAAAGGGGCCATAAGAACTCTGTAAGTTGTCAGCAGAGGATCATGTGAAACCCCATCTGGTCGGAAGAGAGATTAAGGAAAACTGAGCAGTGATCGCTTTTTAGGAAAAGAGATTCACCAAGTAGGGAGGAGAAGGAAGACTTCCCAAGAAGTGACAATAGCCTGGTCAGAAGGATGGTGTGAAGACGGGGAATAGTAACTGGTTCTAATTTGAGAGGCGTATGAGTGGGTATGGGTGGGGGAAGCATGGCAGGAGAGTAGAAAGATGTATTCTGTGATCCAGACCGTGGAAGGTCTTAAAAGGATATAGTGAACCTATTTTTCCATTGGTTGGAGGGCGATGGGGAGTTACAGGAGGTGTTTTGTGGCTTTTGTTTTTACCTAGGTGGATAGATTGAAGCTGTGTGGGTGATAGTGTTGAGAAGTGGGGCTGAGGGCAATGGCATCTAGATAAAAGGTGATTTCTTGAGACCAGGTGAGTAGCAGTGAGCCCTAACGTAGAGTAGTGGCAGGGGGAATAGAGAAGACTTGGTAGATGTGAGGGCTTCCAAAAGTGTGTGGAAATAATGCTATTATCTTTTAAGTCCCTTTTCCCCACATACTTTTGGAAGCCCCCTTGCATTTGGGGTGGGGTAGACTTGACTGCAAGTTAAATAAAAAGTGCATGAATTAATAAAGGAAGGAACGGAGGACTGAATGAGTGCTGACATTTTGGTTAATGCAGTTAACCTTTAGTTATATATTCCCAACTCAACTCCAACAGTTATGTTGCTGTGTGCTGTTGTGTCAATTCTGACTCATAATGACCTGAAAGGACAGAATAGAATGGCCCCATGGGGTTTCCAAGGCTATAATCTTAACAAGCAAGGTTGTTACTTTGAAGACTAAGGTGCGCCTTCCCCAAGCCACGGTATTTCCATTGCCTCCTATGCTTGTAAAAATTAGACAATTAACAAGGAAGACCAAAGAAGAGTTGAGTTAGGGTGGTATTAAAGAATATGGAAATCAACATGGACTGCCAAATGTACGACCATAGTGCTCCTTCGAGGTAAGGCTGGTGAGACTTCATCTCACATATTTTGGACATGCTGTCAGGAGAGACCAGGCCCTGAAGAAGGACCTCATGCTGGGTAAAGTGGAAGGGAAGTGAAAAAAGGAAGGCCCTTAAGGAGATAGTTTGACACAGAGGCTGCAGCAATGGGCGGAGGCATGGGAACCATTGTGAGGATGGCGGAGGGCCAAGCAGTCATACTCTGTTGCGCAAAGGGTGCCTATGGGTCAGAACTGACTTGTTGGCACCTAACAATATCACCAATCTTTCCAGAAACAGATTGCCAGGTGTCTTTCTTTCTTGGGGAGCAACTGGTGGGTTCAAACTGGGTCACCAAGGCCTCCTTCCTCCACGAACAGATACCAACAAAGGGGATATTCCAAGGGAGGCCTTCCACTTCCAGATGCTCTTCCCAAGCAAGCTTTGGTAAGGTGACCAGACGTCCTGCTTTTGGCGGGGCAGTCCCAATTTTTGGCATTTTTAAAAAGTCCCGATTTTTTGAAAGAATGCACAACAAGCTAGAGAATGGTCTATTTGGTTCCATATAGACCAAATTTTTAATCAAGACCCCCCCCCCTCCCACCTGGTCAATGGTGTCCCGCTTTAGATCTGGTCACTTTAAGCTCTGGGCTCTGGAAGGGAATAGCTTTTCCAAGGATACATACAGGAAAGAGTTTCTTTCTGAGGGTTCCGGGGATCCTATTAGCTGCCTCATTCCTCTCCTGACCTTATTGTGTCCTACCTATGGCTGAAATGAAGCGAGACTGATTTTCATGACCGGCTTGTGAAATCAGCCTGATTTCTTTCTAGACACACCTTTTGGTCTCTGAGGATGGGATGAGAAGAAGACAGGGTCTCATCACTTTCTAATGAACCAAATTTTACTCTCAAGCAAGGGTCGGGTCCAAGGTATACAGACCCCTCCACCCCAAAGCCAAATCTCGAGTGCTCCCAACAGACGTATACCAAGGGTTGTACGTAATGTAATCTAAATTCCAAAGAAAGAATGGTATCAGACCTTAAATTGTGAAACTCTGGTTTGCAGAAGGCAATGGATGACAGTGAAATCTCAGAATACATTTTCAGGATCTACACATGGAATAAACTGCTAGTGATTTCCCTCTGATCATAAGTGAGAGATGGGAGTAACTTGGTGATGACAGAGGATTGGAGAGATGATGATCATAGAATACAATGATCCATCTGACTTGAATGGTTACAACCTTGTCATTTGATCTCCCTTTGAAACACTTTGAGCTTGAGCTGGTTTCAATTTTTAAAATTTCAAATTGTGGCTTACCTCTGTTGTCTTTTGTTATTATTGTTGGTAGCCTTCTTGAATCTCTGTTAAGTAATTTTCTGTTGTTTTGGTGAATCAATAGAGACAATCACTAGATTTAGGGTTCCTGAGGGGTAAGGCAGGGGAGGTGGGGGGTACAGGGGAGCTGATATCAAGGAATACAAGAAGGAAGAAAATGTTTTGAAACTGACCAGGGTAGCAACTGTACAGCACTGCTTGATATGACTGAATTATTGAATGGTATGATGTCTGGATTATGTCCTAATAAAATGGTTTGGGGAAAATATTGTCTTTCAGGAATGAAAAATAAATGTAATCTGAAACAAACAAACAAATCTCAAGTGCTCATTGCAGTATCCACTTGCTTCATTGTACTGCCCCTTTTTCTCGCCCCCCACCCCCACCCCATGGAGAGTATAGGGCATTGGCTCTACTTTGTAGCCTTATGCGTGTTAGGCATAGCTTCCATGAGCAGGCCTGTAACCCTTACTGTTAGGTACTGCCTTTTTGTAGCAGGCTTGAGCAGACGCTTTTCTTTCTCTGTGTGCTTTTTCTTCTAAATAGACATGGGAGTTCAAAGAACAATGGGTGCACTACACAGAATTTGTGGAGAGAAGAGACTACGCTAACAGCCACTACTACAAGTACTGTGTACGCTGGAGTATTGCAACTGCTCGGCTACCCATACCACGACTCACTGCTGCTATGTACTTCACTCTCAGGTTCACCAAAGGCAAACCTGCGGTAAGCTCTGGCTTTTCTGCCCTACTCCCTCAGTGAGGCTTCAATGAGAATGATGGCTTCTCTTGGCAAGGCCATCAATGATTCCCCCTCTGCTATTTTCAGTGATCATAGCGCTGATTTCATTTTACTTGGCCCATCTGCAGCACTTACCATGATTTTTTTCCCCTGTTGACTTCTAGGATAACACTCTTCTGGTTTTTATCTGGCTTCTGATGCTGCTGATTTCTCCTCCTCTCAAAACAAAAACTCACTGGCATCAAGGTTTCTGGCTCATAGCAACCATACAGGACAGAGTAGAATTGTCCCTCTGAGTTTTTAAGGCTGTATGTCTTTATAGGAGTAGAAAACCTCATCTTTCTCCTGTGGAACAGCTGATGGGTTTGAACTGCTCACCTGTGCTTACAGCCCAATGCATAATCCATGACACCACCATGCCTTCTCTTCATGTTGAAATGCTCCAAACTCAGGAACAGACCGTCTCTCTATATAACAGTGGTTCTCAACTCAATGCTGCGACCCTTTAATACAGTTCCTCATGTTGTGGTGACCCCCCCAACCATAACATTATTTTCGTTGCTACTTCATCACTGTCATTTTGCTACTGTTATGAATTGGGCAACCTCTGTGAAAGGGTCATTTGACCGCCAAAGGGGTCGTGATCCACAGGTTGAGAACCGCTGCTATATAACGTCTGGAATGGACCATTTCATTATATAACACCTTCCTTGGGAAACTTACTAGTCTCATGGCTTGAAGTAGCATTTGTAGTTTATGACTCCCAAATTTATATCTCCAGCCCAAACCTCTGCCCCTTGGATGTTTAATAAAACTTCTCACATCCCAAAATGAGCTTTTGATTTTCTCTTCCAAACCTGACCTACCTGCAGCCTTCTGCCTCTCAGTTGATGGTCAAAGACCTTGGTGACATTGTTGACTCTTCTTTTTATCTCATCTTCTTCATTAAATCCCTTAGAAAATCCTGTTGGCTCTCCTTTCAATATATACCCAGAATTCAACCCTATCTTACCATATGGTTGAATTACCACCGTCATTGTTCATCGAATAGTATTGCAGGAGCTTCCTAAGCAACCTCTCTGCTTCCACTCTTGTTCTCATTATGCTTCCTTTTAATACAGCAGACAGGAAGAGCCTTATAAAACCAACGCATGTCATTTCTTTGTTCCAAACATTCACACAGTGTTTCTCAAACTTTAAAGTCCATATCAACTATTTGGGCATCTTGTTAAAATGAAGATTTGGATTCAGCAGGTCTAGGGTAGAGCTTGAGGTTCTGTGCCTTTCTCACACGCTCTATGGTGATGCTGCTGCTGCAGGTCCTTAGACTACTCTTTGAGCAAGGACCTACAGGTCTTGTGTGATCTGGCCTCTTGTGATTTCTGCTTTCCCACTACTCTTTCTTTCTCACTTGCTCTGCTCCAAGGAGCCCTAGTGGTGGAGTAAGTTATGTGTTGCGTTGCTAACTGCAAGGTCAGCAGTTCAAAACCACCAGTGACTCCTCAGGAGAAAGAGGATGCCTCTACTCCTGTAGAGTGACAGTCTCAGAAATCCACAGGTTTCTCTTTTGTCCTATTGGGTCACTAGGAGTCACAGTCAATTCGATGGCAGTGAGTTTGCTCAGGCATCTTGCTTTCCCCAGGTAAAATTAGTCCTGCCCCAAGGTTCTTTTAGTTGCTGTTTCTTTGGCCTGGTACACTCTCTCCCTACGTTAGCTGCCTGCTTCATTTTTTCACTTCCTCGTGTGTTCAGCCTGATCCCTCCCATGTGTTTCCACAACACTTTTATCACCTTCTAATATTCTAACTTATTCTCTTTTTGTTGTCTGGTCCATCTCCCTGCAGCCTCCCGTCTTGTGAGTTCTATGAAAGCTGGGCTTTTTGCCTTGCTTTAAAACAAGGCCTGGAAAATAGTAGGCACTCAATAGAGACTTGAAGGCATAACTGTGTGTAGCCACTAGGGAGACCAGGACTAACTTACTGCTGGTGAGTTGATTCCGACTCATACCAACCCTGTAGGACAGAGTAGGACTGCCTCTGTGGGTTTCTGAAACGGCAAACCTTTACTGTAGATCTTTCTCCTGTGGAGCAGCTTGCCTTGCCCAATGCTTAACCCACCACACCACTAGGGCTCCTTGATCTCACTGCGATTGAGTCAAATCCGACTCCCAGTGTCCCTGAAGGAAAGAGAACTACTTAGGGTTTCTGAAACGGTCAACATTTTAAAAATAAACGTTTTATGGGGAAACGGGTGAAGGTTTACAGAGCTTTACTTTCAACAGTTTATACACATTTTCTGTTTCATCTCATCCGCTGCAATCCCCTCAGGATCCCATTCACTCACCCCACTTCCTCCCTGTTTCTGTTCCTCCTCCTTTCGGCATGCTTTTGAAGGTTATCTTTGGGTAAACACTGCCTTTTTTATTATTAGTTGGGATTTAATACATATGTCATATCCTTCCATATTTCATTTATGTCAAGTAGAAATGCACAGTTGTTGTTTGGTGTCTAAAGAAAGTTGAATTAGATTTGGTTCAATGTTTTCACAAGTTTATAAACAGTCTAAGCCAATAAAGAAAAATGGTGAATCTGGGTTCTGCTGTAACTGCATAGGCCTTGCAATCCTCTCAATTGCTTTTTTGGTTTGTTTGTTTTAATTTTTGTGTAGGAGGGGAGGGGAAGGGAACAAGGACTTGCATAGGCTAAACAATTTTTAAATTATTTAAATCATTTTTATTGGTGGCTCTTACAGCTCTTATCAAAATCTATACATCGTACATTGTGTCAAGCACCTTTGTACATATGTTGCCATCATCGTTTTCAAAACATTTTCTTTCTACTTGAGCCTTCGGTATCAGCTCATTTACACCCCTCCCCATGCCTCATGAACCCTTGATAGTTTATAATTATTTTTTTCATGTCTTACACTGACCACTGTCTCCCTTCACCCATTTTTTCTGTTGTCCGTCCCCCTGGGACAGGATTACATGTCAATAATTGTGATAGGTTCCCCCTTTCTCCCCCCACCTTCCCCTTCCCCTCCTGGTATCTCTATTCCCATTATTGGTCCTGATGGGTTGATCTGTCCTGGATTCCTGTGTTGGGAGCTCTTATTTGTACCTGTGTACATGCTCTGGTCTAGCTGGGTTTGTAAGGTAGAATGGGGTCATGATAGTGGTGAGGGGAGGAAGCACTAAAGAACTAGAGGAAAGTGGTATGTTTTGTCGGTGCTATATTGCACCCCAACTGGCTTGTCTCTTCCTTGTAACCCTTCTGTGAGGGATGTCCAATTATCTATAGATAGGCTTTGGGTCTCCACTCCTCACTCCCCATCATTTACAACCATATGATTTTTTGTTCTGGGTCTTTGATGCCTGATACCTAATCTCATCGACACTTCATGATCAGGCAGGCTGGTGTGCTTCTTCCATGTGGGCTTTGTTGCTTTTCAGCTAGATGGCCACTTGTTTATCTTCAAGCCTTTACGACCCCAGATGCTATATCTTTTGATAGCCGGGCACCATCAACTTTCTTCACCACATTTACTTATGTACCCATTTTGTCTTCAGTGATTGTGTAGGGAAGGTGAGCATCATAGAATGCCGGGTTATTAGAACAAAGTGTTCTTGTGTTGAGGGAGTACTTGAGTAGAGACAATGTCTATCTGCTGCCTTAATACTTAACATATGTACATAGATCTATTTCCCTATCATTATCTATACATATATTTACATATGTACATGCCTGTATTTAGACTTCTATAAATGTCCTTTGTCCGCTAGTTCTTTCCTCTATTTCCTTTTACTTTCCTCTTTAAACAATTTCTTTTGAGGAAGGAGCTGATAGAAGTACTTTGGGCAGAGAATAGATGTCTCATGTACTTGACCATGAGTTGAAAAACTAATTTTTCTATGGATACGTTGTGCCCTCCATGAGTTATACGCTTAAGTAAAACCAAACTATCCTCTAAGTATATTTCCTTAAAAGAAGAACAAATTAAAGATCATCCACAAACCAAAGCAATGTGGCATCATGAGCAAATTGTAGCAGTTGTAAACCAGCATGTAAGAAATGGGAAAAATAGGAGATTTGATGAATCTACATCACAATCCCAGTAAATTGCTGGCCTTGCCAAGGAAAGGTAAGTAAATATTGGTTATCTGGATGCATGGGGATTCTAAGAGGGTACTACAAAGTTTGATTACAGTGAAATATGTGGTCTCAGGTGGAGCTCTTAGGAGGGGGATGGATAAAGGGGAGCTGGTATCAAAGCATTCAAGAAGAAAGAAAATGTTTTGAAACTGATGGTGGTAGAAATTGTAAAATTATGCTTGATCTAGAATATCTGTAAGAACTCCCAATAAAATGATTAAATTAAAAAATTCCCCCAAACAACAGATTCAGAAATAAATGAAGAAATGGTCACAAGTAAGCACTACCTTTGCATGCAACCAATTGTTCACTGATTTGAGTTTCATTTACTAAATCAATTAAAATTTGAATTGATTTTTTCAAACCCCTCACAAAACTTCAACAGCACCTATTAAAATAAGAAATTCAAAGGTATCTTAAATCTACAATATGTACACAATTTTCTCTCTGAGGGCATTTTAACATCTTGTACTAGCCCTTTCATATTCCAATCCTCCCCGCTAAGAAACCTAACAACCATGGCTGGCTGTTTCTTCAGGACTTCTGTGTAATAAACCAATGCTGCCCTTTTTGGTCTCTTAAGTGGCTGATTTTTCTAAGACTATAAAGCTGTTGTCTTTCTCCCACAGAACAATTGGTGGGTTTGAACTGCTGATTGTGTAGTTAGCAGCCTAACACTTAACCCACTGGGCCCTAGGGCTCCTTGGCTTCTTGATAGACTGTATAAAAAGAGTCAAAATAATATTCATGCATCCAGGGAATGGGTCCTCAGAAGTGAAAGGCTGCTACCAAGCATAGAGCCTGGAACATAATGGACATAACTACTTTCCATTTGCTTTCCCACCATGTCACAAACATTATCTGAGGCTGTTAGACTTTCAGGCTTTATAAATGACTGTAGGTGAGGCTTAGTCCATGAGCCAACTCTGTCCAATATTCATCCTATTCTGGTATTAAAAAAAAAGCCCAAAACCAAACTCACTGCCACTGAGTCAATGCTAAATCATAGCAACCTTATAGGACAAGGTAGAACTGCACTGGTGGGTTTCTGAGACTGTCACTCTTTACAGAAGTAGCAAGCCTTATCTTTCCCCTGTGGAATGGCTGGTGGTTTCCAACTGCGGACTCTGTGGTTAGCAGCCCCACTCATAACCCACGACAGCACCAGGGCTCCTGTGTTAGGCCAGGTTGACCAGAGAAACAAATCCAAGAACACTCATATACATATAAGAAAGCACTTTATATCAGGAAGTAATTATATATGAAGAAAACATCCCAGCCCAGTCCAACTCAAGTCCATAAGTCTGATCCATGTCCATAAGTCTCTCTTCAGACTCAGGAAGCCACTTGCAATGATGCAGAGTGCAAGAAGATCACAGGCCGGTGGGTGCAAAGTCCTGTGGATCTGAGGTTGGTGGAAATAAGGCAGGGTTCTGGCAGCTCTTCCGGTCAGTAGGCAGGAAGGTCAAGGCACAGAGAAAGAGAGGAAATTCCCTGGGCCCTCATGTGAAGGCCACACCCACAAGGCGGTACCATCAGGCTGTACCTGATTAACAGGTTGAATACCACTCCTACACTTTTATATATCTTCCAGTTGACATGAAACTATGTTAACTACTACTGCTCCTTTCTGGTATAAAGAGATTTATTTAGAGAGTCTGAAACCTGGAGAAATCAAAAGAGGTAAAATATGTGGAGATGTCCCTTCTCCTGATCATGTACCCTTCTATCAGCTGGTTTGCTAACTGGCAAGGTGAATGGGCAACAAGTGGTGGGGAACAAGACCATCACCAGCGACCATCCAAAGAGAGGGCTTGACAGAATGGCTAATGCTCAAAAATCAAAGTGTAGTTTTGGAGGGGAGAAGGGTGGATACTATAGAGACAATATCCTAAAGGAAGTATGAAATTACAAGACAATGCTAAGTTGCATTTCAAACGTTGAAAATGTAGATATTTAATTATTTTCCAACCTTGGTCATCTACATTATTTCGTTCTCAGACCTTCCCCAAGAGGTAACGATTGTTTATTGAGTTTATTTGGAACACAGAAAGAAGCTAAATGACTTATTCCAGCTCCTATTCTTTTTTCCAAGTTTTATTAGCATATAATTCACATATCATATAATTCAATAGGTCAATCACATCCAGCTCCTATTCTTGAGAAGCACATCTTTACAAACCTCTCCTCAGACCGGCCCTAGTGCTGTGGAGACTCCAAAGTTATTTGTTGCCAAAAAAGACATTTTGGGGCCCAGAGGCTTAATGTGACAAAGAATTACCACCTACGGACTCCTATTTTAGAAGATGAATTATAGAGACTTAAGGGTTTCTAGATATGATAGAGTTGGAGGAATTGACTATTAGTACAATTGGTTTTAGGCTGACAAACTGTCTTTTGCTCTCTTAGCATGCACCCGTTGAGGTCTCCTATCATTTTGAGGATCAAACATTAATTCACAGGTAATGAACACATGGAGACTTATTTAAAAGGGGTAACGGGAGATCAAATGGGAGTGGTGGGTGGGGTGGGGATAGGATCGCCACACTTCAGGAAGTCAGCAGGCCCATGGCCGCAGATAACTCAGATGGTCACTTTAGTTCTTTCTCTTTGGTCTACTATTGTATTGGAACAGGCGAAAAGTAGGATCTTGCCATTATTCTAGAAACTTGTTTTTCTTAAGAGTCTATTTTTCAGTGATTAGAAACTCGAAGGTTAATTGCTGGAGGAGGATGTGGGAAATCAGATCATGTCTGTTGTTTCTATGGGCGCTTTACATTATATGTAATTAACTCACGTTTAAAGTTTTTGGAAGCTCTGGTGTCATAGTGGTTATGCACTGGGCTGTGAAATCATCCTCATGAGAAAGACAAGGCTTTCTACTCCTGGAGTTAACAGTCTCAGAAACCCATAGGGACAGTTCCACCCTATCCTGTAGTGTCACTATGAGTTGAATTCGACTTGATGGCAGTGAGTTTGAGTCATTCTACTTTAATTTGTATAGCAGTTTTCTTAAAGTCTGTACGTGTAAGCGCATGAATCCTTTCATGGATTGAGCCTCAGCCCATAAGGGCTAGAGAGAGCCTCTTACCTCCAAAGGCTTTTGCTCGCCCCCCAAAACCTGCTGTCACTGTCAATGCCAGCTCACAGAGATCCCCAGCGAACATCACATGCCTCACCAAGAGAAGCAGTTCCAGCCATCATCTTAGGGGCGAGATCATTGAATGTTTGACCAGTATGGCCCATGACTGATGTTATACATATCCAAATGGCCCATGGCAGAAAAAGGGTTCCCCACACATACTATATAGGGTTTCTGAGGTTATAAATTGTTAGGGGACCAGCCAGTCATATCTTTCTCCTGAGGAGAGCTGCTGGTGGTTTCGAACAGATCTTGCAGCTAGCATCCAATGTTTACCAGACAGCGCCACCAGGGCTCTGCTTTTTATTCACTGGGAATGCAATCACGAGGGACTCCCTGCCTCAATGTTTGGTTTGACTCTTGGTGTTTGTGTTTTTCTTCTGCAGACCAGGAACCATTCGCTTTCGAGAAGTTTGGCTGAAGAACATCATAGAGACCAAACATGACTTACTGGGATCAATCCCCAAGTAATTCAATTGTGTCCTGTCTTCAGTGGGTTGTTTCACTTGTGGATTACTCGTCAGAAGGAAATAAAAATAAGACAATGCATCACACCATTGGCTACTTTTTGACTATTTAATGGGTGACACATTACCTAGCTTTTTTCCCACCCATTTTTCAGCATTCATTCATTTTTCCCTTCGGCAACTTTCCACAATGGCAGAGTGACCAGGAAGTTGTCTGTTTTCAAAAAGGTTTCCCCGCTACATCACTGTGGGTGTCATTTCAGAGGTCCTAGAAGTAGACACTAAATTTAGAGTTTCTAAATTTTGACCATCAGGCCAAAGATGAATATCTGGCAGTTATTTCCCCTCTCTGCACCTAAGTCTCCAGCCCAGACTTCTTTATGGGCAAAATGACAACAGTTCAACAGCTTAGGATAGAATCAAGCCAAAAAGGTTGCCCTGCTCAGAGGACCCTTGTGTACTTTTGAGTGACAACTGGCTGTTGAATAATGCATTTGAAACTCTGAAACTGCCATGTCATCTTCCATCAGAGACCCCTACAACTGTGATGGTCGTAGAGTAGCTGTGATTGGGGGCGGGGTCATGAAGCAGGGCTGTGTTCAGTTACCATTCTGACTTATTTTCTTGTCTTCTTCCTATCCTCACGTAAGAGCAACACTTATTCCTACCATCCCAGTGGGGCTGGCCTGCCTGGGTGGAAACATTTAAACTACCAGACGAAATGACATTCCACTGTGGATGCTTACTTACATCAGGATACATACTGATATAGCACTGGAAAGGGACATAGAAGCCGAAATATGATTTAGGCAGGGACAACTGGGGGCAGCTTTCCTTTTTTCTTTTTAAAATGTACATGTGTGAAATTCATATAAAACAGGAAGGAAAAGCCTATCAAAGCAACATAGACAAGGAGGTGGGCAACTACTTCACGTCTGGCTCTGGGGACTAAACTCGGCTTACTAAGCAGTGACTCCCCTGAGCTGAAAACACTATCAGCCCTTTCATTCTTTCCCAAAGTATATGCGACTGGAGCTGTTCTGTGAGAGATCTTTACCTCACATGCCCTGATGAAAGAAGTGGCAAAGTTGTGAAAATCATATCTTTTTGCTCATTTACTCAAAAAGCATTTGTTGAGTAGTCACTATGCAGACAGGTGGGGAGAAATATGAAAACTCACACTATCTGTGTGCAGTAGTTAAACTTGAACTGCCTCGCCTACTGAAAATAGAACACGTGAATTTGGTCTCTAGAAACCAAGACCTTGTTTCTGCTCAACTTCTGGAAACCATTGATGGATTATTTAGTCAGCAACTACTATGAGGTATAGACCATAGTAATCACTTCCCACTCAGACATCCCTGTTGCTACATGCTGACTGCAATGGTGGATGGAAGTATGCAGTTTCCTCAAACATACTGAAGGAATGCAACTCTTGGTCTAAACTTTGCTTAACAATGCTGAAGAAAAGAAAAAAATTAAGTTTTTAACTTCTTTAAAGAAGGGCATTTTGTAATAGACCTTCCCCATCATCTGTGTAATTTATATTTGTCCTAGGCATATAATAATAGTTTAACTCTACCACATCTTAACAGAATTAGCCCAAACTTCCACTGTCTTCTCTCCCTTCACTCTCTGACGTAACTGAAATTGAACACAACAGGAGAGGAAAAAAGACTGCTTTCATAAGCTCACAATGGTTCATTTCTCCCAAACTTAAAAGCCAACAGCTTTTAAGTATAAAAACAGGGATAACATGTGAGCATTCTATATATTAAAGACTGAACTGGATGACAGATCAAGAGAAAAGGAACAGAATGGTTTAACACAAGGCAATGTCAAAAATGGTTTAACAATGAAATCTGTTTATTACATAAAGAACACACTTAAAAATGTTTTAATATCATTTTTGTTGCAACCTTATGAAACAGTGAAGTAAAACTAGGGACTCCAAGCTCTTGTCAAAGTGCAGCTTAGGTAGAAATCGTCTCCTTACATTGGCACAACAATAGGTTTCCTGGAATTTCCTATTTCAAAGAACTGGTTTAAAAGTCATTTATTAAGAATTCTTCTAAGTAGCTTAGTCAATTTTAAAATGAATGTTCAACATGTTCAATCTATCACGTCTGTGAGTACTTACAAGCATATTGGCATGTTTGCTTTTAGTTTGATTTTTGGCTTACTGGTTGGTTTTGTGGTGGAGGTAGGGATGGAAAGAAACAGGTTACTTTTACAGAAGACTATATATTATATTCCACAAGTCAATTTTTGAGATTCCATTGCTTTTCAGCAATGCCTTCAAGCACAAGTGGTCTCCTGGATATTTCGATGGAGTCTATTTATAACACATTCAAGATAGGAGTGATAATCTCTCCTCAAGTCCCACTGAGGAGGGCCCAGGCAAGTGTCAGATACAGGACAGATAACACCGGCTCACAACGTGCATTTCCAGTTTCTCAACTCAGCCACCCCTCTTCTCCACCACGTCTCCCCAATTCAGCAGGATCTCAACTATCATCTGGATTTTCAGATGGGAAAGTTATGACAGGCCTTCCCAAATCACTCAACGGACTTGTTTAAGTGACAGGAGTAAGCAGCTTTTTACTGAAGGACTGACAGAATGAAATAGAAGGCACAATTTAACTGTAAAGCTCTTTCAGATCATAATATACACATAACAAATGTGTGGAACCCAAACTTTGTATTTCTGTCTTTCAGAATGTCTGCCAAAGAGTCTGAGAATCCTCATTTGTCATCCTTCCCTTTGGTCTTTCTGTATACCATCTCTCGGAAACTGGCCAGAATCTTGTTCTCTCTCTTTCGTCTCTCTTCTTGGTTAAAGGACGCGAGGGCTCTCTTCTCATCGGCACTGTAGATCTGGTTCTCTTTCCGCAGCCGCACAGCCTCCATCCGACGATGCCTGGAGACGGTTTTAGTTTGGGCTTTAGTTTCTCAGTAATGACTCACACAGCACTTTCTCACTATCCCTTCTTAAAAAAGTTAGCAAGTCAAAACCATGTTTTGGAAATGGGTTAAAATTTCAAAAGGTCATTCATTTTATCTGCTGATGTGATGCACCCTTTGACTCATTTCTGGCATTCAAATAAAATAAGCTTGGCTGTTCTGCCAGCGTCATGAATAATGTTATGATTTTTAAATACTAACAGAAAAAATCTAGTTCCATTATTTCAAGTGGAACCACCAGAAAGGGCTAATCATAGAGCTTCTTGGGTAAGATGCCCTTTTCTTAGGGTCAGCTGTGGAACTGATAGTAGGAAAGATTTAACCTGTCATCAATGAGGTGGAGCTTCTTACCATGCAAGCCAAAGAACCAAGTCTGAATCTGTAACAGAAGGGGAGTTTGTGTGACTGGATTTAATTTTAGAATCCAGCAGTGGCTCAGAGAGAAGAAAGGGTGGATTTCACACAACGGCCCCATCAAGAGACTGCCAGGGCAGAGGCAGAATGAAACTCTGACAGTTGAGTTTGAAAGGAGTTTCCAAAGGTTTGTTCATTTAGTGGGAAACCATGAAGAAAACCTGCCTCTTTAGTGTATGTACCCCATCCTACACATCAGGTCAAGACGAGGCTTGAGCTAAGTCTAGAAAAGGGGAGAGAGATCAAGTAAGGGGAAGCAGGGAAAGTGCCTTCAGGTTGGTATGGAGTGGGGGGAAGGACTATCAAGGCAGTGAGAACATATGTAGGTTGCTCAAGTACATTGAGTAGAGCGATCTATCAGGGGCAGAAAGTCCTGTAACAGGGCAGTGATAAATATCTGTATGCGTCTCCAAGTCCACAGTAAAAGACTTTCTCTTGAGTATCTAGGGGTACAGTTGCTGGGCTGTAAGGCCTATGAATGCTCAACTTCATAAGATAATGTCTACTGTCTTCCAAAGTGGTTGTACCAATTACACCACCACTAGCAGTACTTAAGAAATCATGTAGATCCACCTTCTCTAAAATGCCTGGTATTGTTAGAGTAAACGGGTATAAAAAGGTGTTTCACTACAGTTTTGATTTCCATTTCCAATAATAATGAATAAATACTTATGTATGTATTGGCCACTCATTCCTTCTTCTGACAGTGCCCGTTTGTGTGATTTGCCCATTTTTCTTTAGGGTTGTTTATCCAAAAACCAAACAAAAAAACCCTCACTGTCATTAAGTCAATTCCAACTCATAGTAACCCTATAGGGCAGGGTAGTAAACCTGGCCCTATGGGTTTCCAAGGCTGTAACTCTTATGGGGGGTGGGGGTGGGAAGTCTTGTCTTTTTTCCTACAGAGCAGCTGGTGGTTTCCAACTGTTGACCTTTTGGTCCAACCCATAGTGGCCCTGTAGGATGGGGTAGAACTGGCCCTGTGAGTTTCCGATACTAACTCCTTATGGGTGTAGAAAGCTACGTCTTTCTCCTGAGGTGGTGGTTTTGAACTGCTGACCTGTGGTTAGCAGCCCAATGTGTAACCACTACACCACGAGGGCTCTTTTGGGTTGTTTGTAGGCATTCTTTAAATAGTCTCAATACTAACTTTGTGATTGCAAAATCTTTTATCAGTTTATAACTTGCTTTTCTTACTTTATGGTGTCTTGTGATTAACAAATATTCTTACTCTTAATCTTGGAAAATTTATGTTTTATTTTAGGGTTAAGTAGGATTAAGAAAAGGACATTCTCCTCCTGTAAATAGTTACGGCTTTACAATTATACCCTGTCCTAGAGGGTCACTATGAGTCGGCATTGACACAATGGCAGTAAGTTTGGATTTGGAGGGTTACAAAATACATTCCTTCTCTCAGGTATAAAAGATTATTTGCCCATATTTTGCACTCATAAGAATGATAGTTAATTTGACAATTAATTTCTTTATCTAGCTGCCCTGAAATTTATATATGGTAGGGTAGAGGGGTCTACTTTCATCCTTTTCCATGTGGCTCACCATTTCCCCACTGATCTGGCACACCATATCTTTCCTATACCAAGTCCCCCACACCCAAAGCTCACTTTCTTGTTCTTCTTCAAAAGGACTCTCAATTATTGGCTCTTTAGTCTAACATACAAATATGAGAGTCAGCTTATTAAGTTCCAAGAAAAACATGGTTGTGAATTACACTGAAACTACACTGAATCTACAAATTAATTTGGGAACTGACAACTTTACAACATCCTCACTATGAACCTGAGGTCATCCCATTTAAGTAGGTCTTCTTCAATGTCCCATAATAATGTTTTATAATTTTCCCTGTAGAAGTCTCAGGAGTCTTTTGTTAACATTTACTCCTCACTCAAACTCACTGCCATCGAATCAATGCTGACTCATAGTAACCCTATAGGACAGGGTAGAATTGCCCCTGTAGGTTTCTGATACTGAGACTCTACAGGAATAGAAAGCCCTGCCTTTCTCCCATGGAGTGGCTGGTGATTTCGAATGGCTGACCTTGCGTTCACAGCCCAATACATAACAACTATGCTACTAGGGCTTCTCAGATTTATTCCTAAAACTGTAATATTCTCTGATACAATTAGAAAATGTTTTCTTTTTGTTTAATTACGTTTTCTAGTTGTTCGCTGCTGGCATTTAGAAATACAATGTTTTTTGTGTATTTGCCTTTTATCCAAATCTTTAGCTTTTCTGTATTAACAGTCATATCCTTCATAAAGAATGACAACCCTCTTTCTTTCTTCTCAGTCCTTACGCTTCTAACTTCTTTGTCTTGTTTTACTGTACTGGTTCTACAACATAATGTTTTCAAATGCCAGTTTTCAGAATTTTAAGATTCTAAAGGGGGGCTTTTTACTCCTGTAAAGAGTTATAGGCTTGGAAACTCACAGGGGTAGTTCTACTCTGTCTTACAGGGTCGCCATGAGTCAGCATTGAGTCTGATGAAAGAGGTGCTTCAGTTGTTCTTCAAATACCTGCCTCCAATTTCAATGAAAATATTTACCTACTTTAAAAAATGTGTAAAGTTTTCAAAAATCACAAATCCAATTTGATCTTGGTATTGATGATACGATTAGTGTACTCGTCTGGTTTATTTTTCCTAGTTTTAAGATTCATTCCCTCATGCTGGACCTGAAGCTTTTCAGTTCTTTCCTGTAGCTTATTTTCAGAAACTCCAAGGACACAGAGAACTGGAGTCAAACTCAGAAAACAGAAATCTTCACACTCCTCGTGGAGCAGTGATGAAATATTTGAATTTAACTACAGCCTCCAGCGGATAAAGTATCTGTAGCAGGCTGAATCTATGATGTTGGAATATAGCTGCAGTTGAGGCGAGTTGCACATCTAATTAAGACTTTTAAACCACCACCATTAATACAAACCAAACCAACATTAAACCAGTGGGTATGCCGTACTTTTCACTCAAAATGGTCACCTAATGAAAATCAATCACTAAACTCGAATTCTGGTAGTAAGAAAGAAGGAAAAGATCTAATCATGGAAGCTGACCCCTATGCCCAAAACATACCTGCTGCCACTCATGACGTAACCTGAACATTCGAATGAGGCAATTTCTTCACTTGTCAAGCCAATTTCACCTCTTCGTGGGATGCGTTTTCCAGCTTTCACATACTCGGCCATTGCTGCACCTTCACCAGGTAAGAGAGCGTGGCCATAGCTAGACAGTAATTCAGAAAGGGTCCATTAGACCATCTCAAAGAAAATAAAATAAAACACAAGTATATAAAAAGATTATTTAAAAAAAATCTTCCAAAGAGAGCACAAAACATCACTTTTCTCAAAGAAAACAGCAGGGACAATGGTACCACGCAGCAGGATGCTAGAAGGCCCAATGTGAGTGACTTCTTTAAAGTAGTGGCCACTGGACTGTAAAGCAGACACACTCGGGAAGAATCAAAGACCTGACATTGAATGAGTGCAAGTTCACGGTTTACAACTGCGGGTCACTGTATCTCTACAGGTATCACTTTTACTGCTGCTGCCAACAGCTATTCCCTTTTCTCTTAAAAAATACAAACACAAAAGGCAAATAATATATCTCAAATAGACATACTTTTGGACTTACCATCAATAATAATGCTATACAGTAAAAATGATCTATTCACTATGAACTTTCATTCAAGGGGACATTACAAGTTACCACCCCTTCTTTCAATTCAATGAATGTTTTCCCCTCCAAAACCATTTTATTGGGAGCTAATACATATATTATATCATTCCATAGTTCAGTCACATCAAGCAGTATTGTAAAATTGCTACCACAATCAGTTTCCAAACATTCTCTTCCTTCTTGAACTCCTTGACCTCAGGCTCCCTCCAATGACTGTTTCTTGAATACTTATTAAACTCAAAGTGTTTAATACAAAAATAGTCTCTGCTCTGGGAGTTTACAGGTTAATAAGGATACAAATGTGCCATAAGGTAGCTATGTAGTATATTTCATAAAAGAAGAGAGAATCCTGTGAGAATTAAAGAGGGGAGGAAATCACATCTAATTGTAGGTTTGGGGCTATTGGGAATCACATATGGCCTCTCTTTTTAAGGGGATGGTAAGGATTTTTGACAGGAAGAAAATGGGGGCAGGGGGGCAGGGAAGGGAAAAGACGGCAGAGAAGGGAAAGGAAGGCTGTTGGGGGAGATACACAAGGCACAAAAGTGAGACAGTACAGAATAAATACAAGAAACTTGTAACAGTCAGGCTCAGTTGGAGCCTGATTGTATGGAGAGTTACACTTGGCAAGGTAAGTTGGGGCTGTACTCTTTGGAAGGTAATTTGGAGATTGTAAATACATTGCTACTTACTTCAAAGGTTTATCATCTTGTGAGGCCAGTGTTTTTGGAGCCTCTGGACCAATTAAATCTGAGGGTTCTTCAGGCTCTGCACAAGAGATGTTCACATAAGTCATATTTTTACTAATCGCTGAGTTTAATGTTTCATCTACTCTGAGTCAAAGTCTATTAAAAGACCCTACTTGATCTCTCCTTCCAGGGATTCTCCAGAAATTCTTCTTGGGAATCTCTAGCGCTTGAATCACTGTTCTCTTTTTTATTCTTCTTAGACTTCTTTTTCTTATACTTTTTCCTGTAGTGATTATAATTTGATGCAAACTGACTCTCATATTCAAAGGAATCTTATTTTTTTCAAGCTAATGCAGGACAAGACTACTTAAAATGATTTAAATTCCCAGTTAAGAATTTTCATTAAAAAAACTAGCTTATTTAATCACACTATGTTTTGTTCTATAAAAATTACTTAAAAATAATTAAGACAGTTTTCATATTGTAGAAAGACAAGATAAAATAGTTTAAAAATAGCCCTACTAATCTGAGCATTAATAATTTTAAGCATAATGGATTATAATATTTCAAATGTGTTTAAATTTTTGGGCTCATAATGATACTAAAAAGTACATAAACTCATTATTTTGAAAACTTATAAAAGAAGTAAACAAACAAAAAAAAAACCCAAGTGATTATCCAGCTTTTTCCATACAAACTGTCCTTCAGGGTAACCAAATAATTGATGATGTTAAGTTTCTTTCATAGAATTCTTCTACATAATAAATGAAGAAGAAAAGACAGAATTAGACTCTCATTATTTTACAATCTTTACTGAAATAATAAATCTAGGTAATGACCATTAACAGTTGTTAATATGACAAAGAGACACAAACAGGTATTAATATAATCTGCCTTCTGATTACTATACAGTACCACCTATGAAGTATTCCTTGAATATTTTAAAACTGAATATGAACCTCATCAAACCTCTACACCTATTAATCTACAGGAAATACAGAAGACATAAGGACATGTTACAGAACACCTTAAGACTGTAATCAGTGCGTCCTTGAACATCATCAGATCAGAAGACCTGGATAGTGCCTACCTAAAATCACTAAATATTTTGATCAAAGACTCTATAGAAGAATCTGATCAAAAGAGGGAAAATGCAGAAAAAAAATCCTGAATTCTCACAGAATCTAGACTTCCTAGAGCTAGGAAGGCTAGATACATCCCCAAAACTATTTCTGGAGAAAATATTTAAACCTTAAACTAAAAATGTCCCCAGATAACTTCTTTTAACCAAACAAAAATGTAGCTTAACTAGTAAATTGTGTTTGTTGTAAGCCCAGATGGTTGTGCTCTTTTAAGAACTATATATATGAGACCAACTTGGCATTAACATTTTGAAAGATGAGATAACAAAGGTGGGGCAGTAGGTTAAGTTAATGGGGAAGGAACACTTAACAAAAGGAGGGGGACAATTTGACGTATGCAATCAATGTCACTGAATTGTACATGTAGAAACAATTGGATTTTTTGGTAATGTTCTGCTGTATATATTCTTAAAAACAATAGCAAAATAATATACTTTTTAAAAGGATGTACTCAGTAAAATCTATACTACAGGAAACTCTACGGCACAAGCAATCTTGGCTTCTGCCATAAGTGAAAGAACCAAAAATGGAAGGGGAGGGAAAAGCCTATTAATTTAGTGACCTAAGAGATTTATGAACCAAGTGCAAATTATGGACATTACTGGGTTTAAAATGTGAACAAATGATAAAGAAAACTGATAAGAATTGAGCAATTAATGTGAAATATTAGGTATGATGAGTATTATTTCAGTTATGATTTTAAAAAAAGAGTGTCTTTTACAGAGACATGCTGAAGTGTTTATGGATGATACTTTCTGGAAGTGATTTCAAAATTATTGAAGGCAGTGAAGACTACCTACAAGTTGACAACTGTTCAAGTTGGGTGATGAGTACGTGGAGGCTCATTACACTACTTTTGAAATTTTATACAAATTTAAACATTTCTATAATAAAATATAAGGGGAAAAAACGAACGATTTGCGCTTCTTCTTCTTCTCCTTTTTCTTGGCTTTCTTCATTCTCCTTTTTGTATCTTCATCTGCAAATTAAACACACATAATTGAAAAAACATTTTAATACCCTGGTACCCATTGTCCCATTTGTTGTTGTACAGAAATTAATTCATTCAAAAACTTATTCTTAGTTGCCAGGAACTGTGGTAGACTTTGGAAACATTGCAATTAAAGTTAGCCAAGGCATAAGTGATACAGGATGCTGTTGTTATTTTTCCTGTGTGCAATAATGCTGCCACCGTGGATTTCTAAGACTAACTTTTTCCAGGAGTAGAAAGCCTCACCTTTTTCCTGCAAACATACACATTAGACAGCTCCAATAAATGGAACAGCCTGGTTCTGGTATAACTATAGACACGTAGACCAATCCAGAAATATCCCAAACATCTATGGTCAACTGATGTTTGACAAAGGTGCTAAATCCATTTGATGGGGAAAGAAGAGTCTCTTCAATAAATGGTGCTGGCCCTTCTTGACACTATCGCTGAAGACAAAATGGGTGCATAAGCAAATGTAAAGAAAGCTGATGGTGCCCGGCTATCAAAAGATATATAGCGTCTGGGGTCTTAAAGGCTTGAAGATAAATGGCCATCTAGCCGAGAAGCAACAAAGCCCACATGGAAGAAGCACACCAGCCTGTGTGATCATGAGGTGTCGATGGGATGAGGTATCAGGCATCAAAGAACAAAAAAATCATATCATTGCGAATGAGGGGAAGTGCGGAGTAGAGACCCAAAGCCCATCTGTAGATAACTGGACACCCCCTTACAGAAGGGTCGCAGGTAGGAGATGAGCAAGTAAGGGTGCAGTATAGCACCGACGAAACACAACTTTCCTCTAGTTCTTTAATGCTTCCCCACCCTCTCACCCCCCACTATCATGATCCTAATTCTACCTCACAAATCTGGCTAGGCCAGAGGATGTACACTGGTACAGGTAAGAACTGGAAACACAGGGAATCCAGGATAAATAAATCCCTAATGACCAATAATGAGTAGCAATACCAGTAGGGTAAGGGGGAACTGACCACAATGATCTACATATAACCCCCTCCCTGGGGGATGGACAACAGAAAAGTGGGTGAAGGCAGACGTCAGACAGTGTAAGACATGACAAAATAATAATAATTTATAAATTATCCAGGGTTTGTGAGGAAAGGAGGGTAGAGAGGGAGGGGAAAAATGAGCTGATAGCAAGGGTGCAAGTAGAAAGCAAATATTTTGAGAATGATGCTGGCAACAAATGTACAAATGTGCTTGACACAATGGATATATGGATGAATTGTGATAAGAGTTGTACGAGCCCCCAATAAAATGATAAAATAAATGGTGCTGGCAAAATTGGATTTTGACATGCAGAAAAATGAAACAGGATCTATGCTTCATATCATACACAAAAACAAATGCCAAATGGATGAAGGACTTGAATGCACAAACTAAAACCATAATAATTTTAGCACAAGCAATGACAATACTGTTGGGATTATCTTATGTAATAATGAAAGCACAAACAACAAAGGAAAATAAATAAACACGGCCACATAAAAACTGATAACTTTGGGTGGGTTGGGGGCGGGGGAATGAGACCACTCCATCCCTTACTGAGGGAACAGCAACGTGGACTTATGGGAAACTCCCCTTTTGGACACGAACGTGGCTCTATGTCATGTTCCCTGTTAGGCTGGTAGCTATCTGTATGTTGTTGCTGTTTTAATCTTGTATTTTATTATTATTTTGTTTTTGTCTTTTGGTGTCCATCTATACAAGAAATGCAGGATGGGCAGTCTTACAGAGACAGTGGCTGGACCAATGGTTCCTAGGGGGCACAGGAGGGGAGGATGGGGGGAGGGGAATGGGGAGCCAACAACGATGGGAATAGGGGAATAGTAAGAGTTCTAAAATGGACCGCGAGGAGGGTGCTGTTTTTCTGGGCATGTTTGATCAACTGAATTGTATCTGAGAGGAAGTGCTGAGAGGTGAAGGACAGGCAAGCATAATAGTGGGGTAGGAGGAAAAAACACAACCCAATATGTATATATGCATATTTATATAGAAATATATATGAATATATGTATATTTGTTTTTATATGTATATGTAAATGCAACAAGGAAGCAGATGGACTTTGGGCCTCTACTTAAATCTTACCTCAGTACAAGAATGGTTTGTTCTAATCCTGTGGCATGATACCTACCTCCCTGACACGATCACTGAAGACAAAATGGGTGCGTAAGCAAATGTAGTGAAGAAAGCGGTTGGTGCCGGCTATCAAAAGCTTTAGTGTCTGGGGTCTTAAAGGCTTGTAGTTAAACAAGCATCCATCTAGCAGGGAAGCAGCAAAGCCCACATGGAAGAAGTACACCATCCAGTGTGATCATGAGGTATAGACAAGAAGAGGTATCAAAAGTTCAAAAAACATGCATCCAAATCGACATAAAGGGGAGTGGTTATAGTGGAGACCCAAAAAGACCACCAGCAAGGCAACTGGACAGTTCCTCTCAGAAGGGCCACACCGGAATGGAGGATAAATCCAGGGTGCAGTGTGGCATCGATGAACCACATAGCTATCCTCTAGTTCTTTAACATTTTCTCCCCTTACTATTGTGGTCCTTATGTAAAAACCTCATTGGTCATGTTAAATTTTCATTATGTTCATTTGTACATATAAGATCGTTCAGTATATGGTAATCAAGATAGAGGACCCCTCAGAGATAGTGACAGGAGTAATGATTCCCTGAGGGTAAGGGAGGTGAGAGGGGTAGGTAGGGGGAAGAGGGGAATTGATAGTATTGAAGATTGCATAGTCCCACCTGACGGGATTGAACAACAGAACTGTATGGGAAGGGATATTGGAATGAGTAAGATATACCATTAAGATTATTATTTAAAAATTTTTAAAGGGAAAAAATGAACAACTTTTATATATTAAGAGTTTACAAAAAAACTGGCAAATTTGAAAAGACAAGTTATTGACTGAGAATATCTTTGAAAATCACAGATCTGACAAGAATCTAATAATCAAAATATGCCTAAAACTTTAATAACTTAATGGACAAAAAGACAACAAACCCAATCATAAAACAAACATAGGACAACTAGACATTTTACCACAGAGGCCATTCAGAAGGCCACCCAATACATGAAAAGATAATGTCATCAGCCATCAGGGACCTGCAAATCAAAATCACAATGTCACTTCCACTTGGATGGCTAAGGCTAATATAAAAACAAAAACAAAACATGGAACATAACATGTTAGTGAGGCTGTGGGGGGAAGTGGACCCCTTTCATTGCTAGTGGGAATGCAAGACAGTACAGGCACCGTGAGAAGCAGTGTGGTGGTTCCTAAACAAAACAAAACAAACCCCAGAACTACCGTCAGATCCAGAAAGTCCGCTTCTAGCTATAGACTCCAAAGCAGAGGCTGAAAGGGAGACTTGTACACAAGTGTTCATTGCAGCACTGTTCACAGTAGCCAAAAGGTGGAAATGACGTAAATGTCCATCAACAAATGAACGGATAGACAAAACATGGTACAAACATATAATGGAATACTACTCAGCCAGTTGGAGAATAAATTCTTGATGCATGCTGCTGTATGGATGGAGCTTGAAGACATGCAGAGCAAAATAAGCAAATCACAAAAGGACAAATATTATACAACCACACTTATAAAAAATTTATTGGTGGTTACCCGGGGTGGCAAGGTGGGGGAAAAGGAGTTAATGGTGATGGAAAAATCACATTGATAAAGGGGTAAGGTTGCACAGCTGATTAGTATAATTGTCAATAAGTTTACACACTTGTAAAAAGTAGAATTAGCAAAAGTTGTGGGGTAGATATATTTATGAATACAAGCACACACACGTAGCTGCTAAGGCTGCATATGTTAACACCTCATGGGATTTAGTTCCTTGTATTAGACTGAAAAGCTTTCCAAACTGTCGGTCGCAACCTCATAGGGGGTTGCATAACTGAATGTGGGGCCATGATAAATTTGGCAACAGTAAAAGGTTTCTGAATGCACAACAAAAAGTAATTCAAAATCAAATGCAAGATGAATCCGATGCCAGAAACACGATGTTTCTGGCATCGTGTGCCCGTGCTACAAATTTCTTGAACAAAAAGGGGTTGTGAGTCAACAGTTAAGAAGCCCTAGTTAAAGCACTGTTTCCCAAAGTAGGCTTTACTGCCCCCCTGACGTACACTGGAACGACTCAGGAGGGCTGCAAAAGCAGACACCAACACTTTATCCTGGATTATGGGCTACAGAAGGAGCCTGGGTTGCATAGTGATTATGTGTTGGGCTGTTAACTGCAAGGTCAGCAGTTCAAAACCATCAGCCACCCCGTGGGAGAAAGATGGGGTTTTCTACTCCCGTAAGGAGTTATAGGCTCTGGAAGTAACCAAAGGAATTGAAGTAGGAAACTGACATGCGCAGGTTTGTGCTTGCAGAAAGTCCAGTCTTTCAGCAGAGAAAAGGAAGAGAATTAATAGTGGGACCCAGGGATACTGGGTGGCATCACAGGAAGGAACCCTTTTGTGTCAACCCAAGAAGAGGCACCCTCTTGTCAAATGCCAGGAGAGGACACAGAAAGAGTTTAATTTTTTTTCTAATTTATCATATGACTCCATCTAGGAATGGCTCCCGTAATTCGGCCCAAAGCCTGCTGGGAGCCCCTCCTAGCAGGCCTTTTTGAAAATTGTACAAAGGAGCCCGTTGGGTAGGAGAATGACACAAAATAATCCTTCCACTGTCCAATCCCAGTATGGCTTGATTTGGTGGCTCGTGCCTTACAGTCTCAATCCCTAACTTTGCCCGGGTACCACAAGCCTTGCACAATCTCTACACAATTGCTCCGGGGTCTGATGTCCGAGGTTTGAATCCTAATGGTATGCTCCTGGGTGTGGGGCTCCTAGCCAGCTGTGTGCCCCCATGTCCTAGTCTATGAAGATCCCACAGCTACTGTATGGATTAAATAAGAGCAACTGAATAGAATGCACTTAACACGAGGCCTGGCGTAAGGTCAGTGGCTGTTCTAAACATCTGGGCTACTACTTTGAAAAACGTTCTAAAATAAGATTTTAGAAGTAAAAACTAGTTTTCAAAGGTGTGCAAAATCATGTTAGTTTTCTTACCACTCGAGTCTGTTTCAGAATCAGAGTCACTATCGCTGTCATCAGAAGACTTTTTCTGTTTCTTTTTGGAAGATTTTTTCTTTCTCTTTTTCTTCAGCCTTTCTTTGGAATGACCGGACTTCTTCTTTTTCTTTTTCTCGTCTACGCAGAAAGCAATGACAACGTGAACTTCTAAAGAGGTTTTCCTGAGCATCACTTTTTGTTGTAATTGAAATAATAAAAAGCAATAGACCAGCAGTTCTCAACCTGCGGTCGTGACCCCTTTGGGGGTCATACGACCCTTTCACAGGGGTCGCCCGATTCCTAACAGAAGCAAAATGACAGTTATGAAGTAGCAACGAAAATAATTTTATGGTTGGGGGGTCGTCATCACAACATGAGGAACTGTATGAAAGGATCGCGGCATTAGGAAGCTTGAGAACTTCCTAATTAAAAGGCCCAGCATTTAGAAAATACCTTCTGAAGTAGAAACTGAGCTGCTTTTCTTTGGTTCATCATCCTCTACTGGTGTATGTTCATCAGAACTGAGTGGAAAGAAAATGGTTTTAAGAATTAGCAAAGTGATCAAATATGAATAAGCCATGAAGTATAAAAATGTGGATTTACACTTTTTCTTTAAAACTTTGATTAACCAAAGACCGGTCTGAGCAGGTGCTGGCTTCCCTTTGTTAAGGGTTTAGTTACAGGTTCTACCTTCATAAAACTGAACCATCATTTACATTTATATACTGCTTTAGAGTTCACAACGAGCAGTACGTAGGCTTTGTCTTTTCAGAAGAAACCATACTGGTCTAAGTAGAGGAACAGAATGCATAAGACAAAGGGACTGGGGATCCAGAAGACTGAAGGACACTGCTAGCATTTTATTCTGTAAGGTAAGGGCAGATGGGGAGCCTTGGTGGCATAGTGGTTATAGCACTGGGCTGCAGACCACAAGGCCGGCAGTATGAAACCACCAGCAGCTCTGCAGTTCCAGTCTGGGAAACCCACAGAGGCAGTTCTACCCTGTTCTATAGGGTTGCTATGAATAGGCATCAACTCGATGGCAGAGTCTGATTTAAGGACAGATGGTAGAGCCGAAACTCTTCTGTTTCCTTAGAGCAAGAAAAACACAACCAACCAAACAAAAACTATAGTTATAAAGAGATTGTACTGCCTTACTGGGAATCCTGAAAATTAGCATTCTTAAAATTCTACAAGCATTTAGAAAGGGAGTTTCTATATTATACAGTCTCTTTGTCTGAAGTGCACAACTGTAATAATTTAGGCATTGCCTAAAATGTTACTTTTAGGGTTCCTACCAACTTGAATCCTACAAACTCAGGTTTGTAGAGCATTTAAAAAAAGTTTTATTAGCACTTCATCCACGTCATGTAATAATTCAATCATATCAAGCGGAGTTGTACAATTATCACCATAGTCAATTCTATAGAGCATTTTCCAAAGGTAGCTACTCCATGTTTCAGATAATGCTTTATTACCCTTCAAGGCCCAGCACTTAAAGTGCTGACCACTCAAGGCAGGGCCGGCAGTATTTCTGGAATGTTGACTGCCTTAGAATCCCTCAGAGGCAGTTCTACTCTGTCCTATAGGGCCGCTCTGAGAGTTAACTGGATGGCATTGGGTTTAGTTATCACCCTATTACAAATTACAGGTTTACCTGTCAAAGCACATTGCCTCAACTCCACCTAAAGCTGACATGGAAACTGAGAAGACGGAAAAGAAATGTATGAATAGCACAAAAGAGAAAAAAAATAAGGAAAAAAAGCATTCTGCTTTCTGATGGTTTGGAGTATAGGAAAACTAAGTTCCCAAAATAGCACTGTAGATTCACTACGAAATATCCCTTTTTAATAACAGTATCTGACATGCAGCCTGCTACTCGATTATAGCAGAAAAAAATTCAAAATAATATAAATGTCCTATTTCCTTTGCTTTCAACATTGAACTCTTTTATGTCTAGAAAACACCTTCATGGACTGCAATTTAAAGAGCACAGTTCGCATGCTAAAATCCACTAACAGCCTGTTTTCTTCCTTAGCTATCTCCATGTTTTCAAAATTTAAAGGGTAGGTGAGCATAAATTACAAGGACAAAAAACGATACCTGCTGACCCGTTCTGACAATAGATTTCAGGTTTAAACAAATGGAACAATGTATGTCAAAATATTCTCCACTACTTACTCTGGTTCGGGATTCTTTGGAGATATGCCCCAAACTTCAGGAGCTCCCAGTTCTCCAATCCTTTCTCTCTCACTTAATCTCCTGGAAGAGACAGGCATGTAAATGTGAAGGCCGCCAGGGGTATTGTTTCCAAAACAGAAAATAAAAAAAATTAAAAGCTGGGGCTTTCTACTCCCATAAAGATCTACAGTCTTGGAAACCCACAGGGGCAGTTCTACCTTGTCCTCTGGGGTCACTATAATTCAGAATTCCCTTGATGGCAATAAGAGAAGGTGTCTGGTGACAGTGGTTATGCATTGGGCTGCTACCTGCAAGGTCAGCAGTTCAATCACCAGCTGCTCTGAGGGAGAAAGATGAGGCTTTCTACTCCTGTAAAGTTCGCTCTCAGCAGCCCATTGGGGCAGTATAGGCTTGCTATGAGTCAGACTCAACTTAACGGCAGTGAGTTTGAGTATAACATAATAGAAAGAATGATCATTCTAGAACCACAAAACCAAACATGCCACCAGTGAGTCAATTCTGACTCACGGCAACCTTATAGGACAGTGGCTAACTGTCCCTGTGAGTTTCTGAGACTTTAAGCATCTTTAGGGGAGCAGATAACGGCTTTTTAAAAAAAAAATTCAATACATTTTACTTTGCTCTAACTTAGAATTTTTCATCTTACATGATTTTTTTTCCTGCAGCCAAATTGGAATTTGTAGCTTTCCCTCATAAGAAACACTACAGAGTCATAAACGGCATTTTCGGATTTTCTTGTCAGCCTGCTTCAAGGAAATCCATGTATTTGAGGGGCTTCCTTTCGGTTTGGCCCATACCAAATGATTGTTCAAGCCAAAAATCTGAGAAGCAAACTCAGCTGATCTTTCTGGAGAAAGTATAGTCAAACAGCCGAGACCACTGGGTAGCCAAAGAGCTTCCTGAGCCTCCCAGTCTGGTGTGAGGGAGGACAGTTCTTCACTGGATATGCACTGCTCCCAAACCATTGCTCCTGCCACAAAGACAGTAGGAATACCATCCCCTTCATACTTTCATACTCAGCTTTAATTCAGTTTCATCTGGGCCTTTATGTTACTCGAAGTTCACATTTCATTTTCTGTGACAGAGATCAGAGGTTGAGCCCATCAATCCTAAAACCCTGCATTCAGAAGCAGCTCTACTCTTTCTGCAACCTACTCAAAATTTCTCTTGTCCAGGGTCACAAGGACGGGAAAGGGGGAGAAAGAGGAGCTGATACCAAGGGCTCAAAGAGAAAGTAAATGTTAGGAAAATGATGATGGCAACATATCTACAAATATCCAGGATAAAAGTGATGTATGGAATGTTATAAGAGCTGTAAGAGCCACCAATAAAATGATTAACAAAGTAAACAAAAACAAATAAATAATTTTTTCTTGACTATCTGCAGCCCTTCAGGAGTTACTGTTGGCTTCAATCCCCTGATGACCAGAATCTCCAGGAATTGTTATCTATTACATCAGCAAGAGCAATTTTTTGGTGTCTGCGTCAACACCAAATTCAATCTTCATGTCAACCATTGTACAACCAAAATGGCCTGCGTGGCATGATTCATGATATCCACTTCAGTTTGACCTGTTTTAAGTCTAGCAAAGCACTATTTGGCAGCAATGAACTGTTCCACAGACAACTGTGGGTCATTATTGGCATCATCTTTGAAAAACATCGCCAGACGTCGGACGGTGTAAGATATGACAAAATAATAAGGGCTCATGAGGGAGGGGGGAACAGGGAGGGAGGGGAAAACTGAGGAGCTGATACCAAGGGTCAAGTAGAAAGCAAATGTTTTGAGAATGATGAGGACAACAAATGTACAAATGTGCTTGACACAATGGATGGATGCATGGACTGGGATGAGATGTACGAGCCCCCAATAAAATGATTTTTTTTAAAAAGAAAAATATCTCCACTTTGGGTGGATAAAACTTGTAGCCTTCCTTGACCCTGCGGTTCTTTTTGAGGAAAAGAACCAGGTGCTATTCTCCTACACACCCATTCAATGAGCATCATTTCACACTGGGGAGCAAGGAAAGCTGTCTCCCCCCCTCTCCCGAGGCCCCCCCCCCTATGTTTTGGTGAAAGCCCGTTTTGATATCTGCTTCCGGTGACAAATGAACAAGACAACTGGTAATTTTATTGGAAATCACATTCCCTGCTGTCATCTGGTCCTTGGATGGCAAGGGGACTTTCCCTGGATAATTTACCAACTCAGAGACTTCGTTTTCCCCTCAGAGAGGTTGGCACCAATGAGCAACACCTCAGAGGTCCCCATTATCTGGAGCACGCTGGGGGCTTTGACAGCGCAAAATTGAGAAGCTGGAACCTCCAACCTGCTCCTTCTCCCCAGGTGCAGCTGGTGGTTTCGAACTGGTGCCCTTGTGGCTCGCAGCCCAACGTTTAACCCCACTGTGGCACCAGGGTTCCTCACACACATGGGGGGTGGGGGTACCTAATGCCACCCTGGCTACTCAATGAGAGCACAGACTAGCCTCACGGGCCTTCCCCTGGTGCTTAGCTGAGCACCTGGCCTTGTCCTCCCAGGTACCCGGCCTCAGAAGCTGGGGCTGCCCCGTCCCCAACGGATATACTTCATCCCAACTCCCGCCACCCGGGCCCATCCCTCCCTGTCACCACCTCCAGCCGACCAAATCTGTCAACCATTCAACAAGCCCTAGG